CTTTCATGAACGAACCCAAAATTTCGACGTTGTCTGTGAAGCCTTTGGCTGTTTCTCGAAAGAATAGACTCGCAGTCCTGGACGTAAAAGTGAATGCACGAAGCAAAAACCATGTAGGATCCTCAGATTGAAAGTAAGTTAAATGTTTGACAGAGTTATAAATGTAGTTGAGAGTGACTTCAGGGGAGCTGTTAATGTCGCTTGTGTGGCTACTGCCGACGGCAGGAAGCGGAGTAATCTTGTCGTCGTAGAGGGTGGCTAGAGCCCTAATCTTGCATGGGTCGATGTGTCCGCGAAAGTTATCTCTTGGGACGAGCATGTACTTTGTAGAACCAAACATTCTTTCGTTGTTGCTGTAAACAGCAGCTATTCGACCAGAGTAGGTTTCCCGGTACACAGTCGCTTCCACTTGCCTTCTAGCAACGCCCCCACGAACTTTTTTTAGCAGAATATACTGCTCTGCATCCTTTTTCTGATACCGTCAAGCCCTTGTGCCTCTTTCGAATGGGCCCCTCCCCAAAAACAAAAGGGTGGTCTAGAGATTGCTCGTGGGTCCCTAACGCAGACGCACCGAGAGTGTTGCTGATGAAATCAATTGTTTTCTTGCAATTGTAACCTCTGTCTGGTGCAAATACTGTATCAGCCATAGGAACTAACGCGCTTCTAGTTGGTGCGCCTTGAACTAACTGGACCAGTCGTAGCCATACATCAAATAGCTTCTCGTTCGGCCGAGACAGGTGTCCTGCTATAAAGCCTTGTAGTGCAATACGCACCTGAAAAGGGGGGTGAAAAGAAAGGAAAATATTTGGATATGAAAAGTAGTCCTGGTTGGGGGACGCACGTGTGAATAACTGCACAGTTTTAATTTTTAATTATTTTATTTTATTTAGTTAATTAGTTGGCATTAATTTTGCTGACACTAGATTAGATCTAGGATCTAGCGCCGCGAGCTACTGTAGTGGCTCCGGCGGGGCGATATATACCTTAGCGCTCTGACCACCAAGTCAGTAAAAATAACCAGAGTTGCCAGAGTTGAATATCGCCTTGGTCGAAGTCCGTCTTTCCCAAGACGCTCCCTTTTACCACAGATTACGTTATCCTTTGCGCTCGGGGGTTCCCTTTCCTTTTCCTTTATTTCACCTATCCATTTCTATTTCTATCTCTAGTTCTATTCCCTTATCTTGTGTTGGTTCCACAGTGCCTGATTGCGATCCGCATTGTGACGACTGGAGTCATCGGGCTCTTGTGTTGGTTCTTTCGTTTGTTGTTGGTGCCATCGGCTTTGGTTGCGACCGGACCGGTGTAGGTGTCTTGGCCATCGGGCGACACGTGGGTGTAGCGCTGCTACTTGTTTACGTCCACCGACGGAGGCTGTTGCGACGACGTCTCCCTCGAAGGTCCTGTTGTATATACAGGACAGTGTTGGTTCCATCGGATACAGGTTGCGACCGTTCCGGTGTCGGTACTTTGCCATCGGGCAGTACGGAGGTGTAGCGCTGCTACGTGTTTGCTAATTCCCGTCGGGCCGCGTTGCGACGCCCCCGTCGAAGACCATATCAAGAGTATAAGGTGTAACAGGCGCTCCGCGAGCATTGGCTTTACGACCCATCGGGCCCGGCTTCCTAATCACCGCCCCGAACTCGCCGAGCAGCTGCCTGTACAAGACTCTACCACCATTCGTCCCGGGGCGGGCATCTCCCTTTTGCCCCCCCTATCAGGGACTTGAGCTACTGTGGGCCGCAAACCCACTTAAAGGGAAACGGAAAATCGGACACTCCGTAGGGCTGTGCCGTCGGCAACTCTTGTTGGTTGTTGTTTGTTGGTTGTGTTGTCGCTGGACCGTTGGACCCTGGTTCCGGCCTGACAGGCACATTGCACTACAAGCCTGAAGCGAGGGCAGAACACATGGCGTTACAAACGGGACCGAGCGCTTTGGCAGGATTGTTTACTTGCCTGGGATTTGTCAAGAGTGATACAGCAAGAGACGAAAGTCTCAGGTGATCATCGTCAAGCGAAATTATTGTAGAGTTTGGAACGTACAATAAATTTCGATTGATAGCCGCCAAGTCTTGTTCTAGTTCTGCAATCAGAGAGTTAGCCATGATGGGGCGAGTGGTCCATGTAGAATTATGACCTTCGGTCCTGGTTCGTTTTCCTTTTAAAGAATTAAGGGCAGACCAAACTTCGTTATAACGTGATGAGGATATACCAATCCGCAAAAAGCAGTTCTTTTCTTTTGCTGAACACAGAGTGGTGGCAGACGCTCCATACGAGGCACAAAGTACGTGAAATATTATGATGCCTAGTAGCTCCTCCACCGCAACCAAATTGTAGTGCAGTGACCCTGTATTGTACGCCTGGCCACCGCCGTCGTGGGGCCTCGCTCCCCGCCTTTGACACTTGTACTGTGCGCGCACACTTGGGAAAGTACCCCACGTGTACCACACGTGGACACACGTGTGTGACAGTCGTATGACGCGTATATGATACGTGTACAACACGTGTACGACACGTATACATACGTGGTGCCCACAAGTTTCTACGCTAATTAGCGTCTAATGCCAAGTGGCAATTCTAATGACGATAATTAATTATTAATTACACATTTAGTAACCGACGCTGACGACAGCGCTCGGCCTATATAGGTCGGGTGTCGGAAGGCGCTACAGTAAAGAGGCATGAGGTAATCGGACCCCATCTCTGGTAGGATCCTCTACGGTTCCTATCTAGTTGGCTAAGTCTGGTACCTGCACCCTTCGTCGTCATCCTTTTTCTTGTTTTTCCTTTACTTTTTCCCCTATTTTCTACGTTTCTACTCTACACTTCTCCTTCCTTCTTTCTTCTGCCTTCTTGTGTTGTTCTTCTTCGATGCTGTCGATAGCGGTCCGCGCCACACCCACTCCTTCTAGTTGCTCGATCCCGAGTACCCCTTCACGCGCTGACCGCGACTCTACCCGCGTATCTCGCGTTACCTCTGAGCTACCACGGACAGAGGGCTCTGAACACCCTGGTGGTGACTGGACATACCGCTTTCCCTCATAGCGAGATTTACGCCCTCGTTGGCGAGTGTGTCCACTGCATTACACAAATCGTGCCCCCTCGTAGACAAGGCACGATTAGCGCAAGATCTTACTTTCTCCAGTACACTCAGAGGCACAAATGCCCTTACCACATCAAGTCTTGACAAAGTAGTTCTGCAGGTCTCTCCATTTCCACTTACAGAAAGGTAGATTGTCGTTCCACTGCGTTAATCAATTCTTCGGCGTCAATTTTCTTAATCACCTCACTAACTTCCGAAATGAAAGGTGACTCAATTCTTCGGTCTCCATTTTTTAATCACCTCACTGACTTCCGAAATAAAACGTGGCTCAAGCTCTTTATCAACGTCATCAACAGACACAGAAACTGGCGAAAAGGGAGATGAATACACCCAATCTGGTAACCCTGATCGGATTGGAACACGGTGGCTTTGATGGCGTTGTGCATTTTCAAACAAAGTCTGTTCCTCTGGCGGACAAGCGTTTTCCCCCAAACAACTCCCTGAATCAGCCTCAGTTTGCCGAGAATTTACCGTACCTTCGGCAAAGTCGTCTTCCGCGTCTTCCTCAATAGCATCATCAAACATAGAAGAGGCAATATCTTCAATCGCATTCTGAGTAAAAGAAGTTCCACGCATCCCAGGTATGGTTCGGTCTTCAGAAAAACCCATGCATCCAGTTTCATTTGTACAGTTGTTGTCAAGTTCGAGGTCAGAGAGATCTTCACTTGAATTATTGCTTTCTGTATCTAAACAGGCATCCGGATCTTGGGCTAAGAGCTGCACTTCAGGACATTCTTGCGAGAAAGGGACATCATCCGAGTCAGAAGTATCCGAAGAAATTGAAGGAACCTGACGTAATCTGGTTTGAGCAAGCGAAGCTCTCCTCACAGGTCCTCTACCTTCTTCGTGACTAGCACCAAAACTATAAATATTATTCCGCACAGCAAGACCCGTCAAGATGGTAGAATCATTACAACGGAGTGGGAGAGCAGAGGGTGGAACTTCGGATTGATTGTCCACAGTCGCGGGGCAAGCGGGGCTAGGGAGGTGCAATGATTTTGAGCGAATAAGGGTAGACACGTCCTGAGTGCAGCCAAAAAAGGGTGCTGGGGATACGATCAGGTTGGGGTTTTGAGAATGAGGAAGGTGGGAGTTAGGAAGTGGCGATTCTGAACCGATTGGATCCACAGGAGTGGATGGACCAAATGGTGAAGGAGCATGTTGAGTTCTTGGACGGGGTAGAGGGGAGTTGTAGGGAGGTGTCTGGGGTTGGTGGCACTCTAGCGGGCTGTGGAAGACCTCCCCATCATCTGCACAGACTATAGATCGTCTCATGAGGGCACGAAGGGGGGGGGGGGGGGGGGCAACGTTGGGAAGTCTCGAGACTGCCGTGCTGTTCCCTGGGGGTCGCTGGCTTGGAGACGATCGTGATGTTGGTGAACTTTTCTTAGTGATGTCACTAAAATTGTTGGAGACGGTGGTAGATCTACGAATTTTTTCACTATAGAAAAGTGAAGTAAAAATATTACTTTATGAGCACCGGGATAAGCGAGCGTATGGGTGGCGTGGGAGAGCACAAGTTTGAATTTTGGCGGACTTTCGCCTTCCGCAGCAACGAGGGAAGATGGCCCGAGTTGTACGACTCTTGTTAGCATCTTGCACGCGGGTTTGAGCAACTCTGGCAGGGGAATACTTAAAATTACTAAATTGCCCCCGATTACCAAATCACGAAATTGCTCCTTTTTGGGAAGGTATATCCACATTTGTGCGGAGGCCAAATTTAGTTTCTACATCTTATTTTCTTTTAAAAAATTAAAACTTCTATACTGTGTATCTGCTGTACAACAGTGTATCTGTTTCACTGGACAATTCTCACGGAATTCTTTCTAGTACGGTACTCACCTCTACGCACCACTTGTACATCTCACCGACTTACTGCTCGTTCAATTCAAAAGTTCATTCAGACGGTGAAGATATTCCCACTAGGAAGCTGATCTCTCTCAACCTTAGTATTCTGCACCACGACGTCCCGCCACACGCTGTAGCCTTTTCGATACAGGCTGTTCACCTCCTTGGTCAAGAACATTTTCAGAACCGGTGGCATTTTCACCGTGCGCCGGTAGAAGAACTGGTCTCCCTCCGCCAATCTCGTAAACTCCGCCTCCCAAACTGCTCGCATCGTCTGTCCGCAACTCGCTGCTCCGATCTTATCCTCGGCCATCATCCCCGGCCACGCCTCGACGGCGTCCACATCCCCCTCGTACGCCAGGCTCAACAGCCTCGCCACCCGCGAGTTGCGAGATATGTCTGAAAATTTCCGGGCAGGGCGTATACCGAACGTCTGTCGGATCTGGTTAAACGTTGGCAACGCGTGATCGCGCCCGCGCTGGATGTTCATGGCCACCAAGTCAAACCCGTCCTCGCCGGGCACGTTTTCGAACAGCATGTTTCGCAAAGCGTTGTGCACTTTCACGTCCACTTCCTGTGCGCGTACTCCCGCTGCCCCTCGGATCAAGTTATCCATTTCGCCTACTTCATCCACTCCGCTCGGTCGGAAGAACATGTCTGACAACTTGAGCGCTCGTAATCTCCTGGTTGCACTCCGCCGAGATACCTTATTGCCTACCATCGTGTGTCCGACGCGGAACGCTGCTCCGGCGAAGATGTCGCTCACCGTCGGGTTGACAGACTTTCGGAATCCATTGTATCTCGGCGCACGGCGACCGATCATCGTCGGCACAAACTCCTTGTATACGATGCTCTGAAACTTTGCAATGTTCAGGGCCCGGGCCCACTCGTAGATTTGCTTCGAATCTACTTTGTTCAGCCTGCCTGCTGGGACTTTCTCCCGAATCAGGTCCACAATTCGGTTGTGTTCGCGCACCCAGATGGTGTGGATTGTCGTCAAGGTTGGGTGCTCATTGGCTCGATGATCACCGGTGAGGTAAAACTTAGCGCTCTTCGAGTTGGGCGCATTATTGAAACCACCTGTGTTATAGGGCAGCAGGTTGCCCTCTGATGTTTTCATCTTTCCTGTGAGGTTGCCGGCAGCCATTTCGAGAAGAGCAGTGTTTCGCGGATCGTTGACACCGTACACGGCTGAGAGGTCCAAGGCAGACGAGAGGGTGTTGATGGGTCGCTCATAGTTTTCTTCACCCGTGAATCCGCGAGTGGATCGGACGAAACGCATCGTCTTCCCCTTGAACCACGGGTCATTCTCGGGGACAAGGATGGGCATCGGATCGCCAGTGGCTGGGGTGGCGACAAGATTGTGATCGACAAACTGGCCAAAGAAGACGAACAGCTCGTTGATGCCCTTGGCGCTGAAGACGTTGCCCTTCTGGTTGCAGAGGATGTTACTAATTTCGCGCGCGCTCTTCAGGCTAGCGCCGGTAGGAAAAGTAGAGGAGTGGGCGCTGAGGTAGGAGAACTGGGGACGCTGTGCCTCGCCCCACGTGGCGGCGGCGGTGGAGGTGCACTGGCCCGAGAGGAAGCGCAGGGGCCGGCGGAGACACTCTGCTGCGAGCGGGGGGCTAGCGACGGCAAAAGTGCGCTTCGGACCGGCGGAGGGCGAGGGCGACGGAAGCGGGGCGGGGGCGCCCGGCGCGGGCGCGGAAGGGGACGGCGGCGGCGAGCGCGACGGGGCGGCGGAGAGGGCGGGGACGGCCGGCGGGATGAACTTGTCAGGGACTGGCTTCGCGGGCTCGAGGAACTCGGCGTCGCGGCCGTCGTCGACCGGGGCCTGGGCGAGGGAGGGCGCGATGACGACGAGGAAGGAGAGCAGGAGAAGGGCGGACGAGAGCATTTTTGGATGCGCGGGTGGGGTGAGAGTGGGGGAGGCCGTGATGTGGGGTGAATGGGGGCGCGCGGGCAGTAGCGCGCGCCATTGATGCGCTGAAGTAGTCACATGAGGCGAGGAAGGTGGCGGAGGGTCGGGGCGGTGTTGACAGGGGGAGATGCAGTACGTGGCGAGGAACGGAGACAGTGCGGGAGGGGTAGCGGACTGGAAGGTGGGGGTGTGGGGTTGCGCGGAAGGCGTGGTGGGTCCGAGGAGCTGGACAGAGGAGCACGGAGGTGGGTAGTGTTGGGAGTGTGTGGGGAACGGTGATGGGAGGCAGCGGGGTGGAAGGGGGTGAGAATTGAATTTGAATTGGGGAATGAGGGAATCAGGTGAGGCGGGATGTCACGCGAGGAGCGGTTGGGGCAGAAGGCGAGGGGAAGCATTGCTGTGGGGTTGGTGTGCGGGTGGCTTCGCGGGTGGTGCAGCGCGTGGAGGCGAAGGGAAGGGCGTGGTGCAGGTGGGTTGTCGGGGGTAGGGGCGGAGTTGATAGAGTGGATGTTTACAACGGTGTGGTACAAGTACGGTAGTGGGCAGGGAGCGGAGGCCATTTGATTTGCGGTGAACAGGGAGAGGGGCACGGGCCCTCAGGGCCGTTCCTAACGAAGAGTTCGGTGTGCTAGCACGCAAGCACCCTGACATTTGGCATGAATGGATTGGTTGAACGGGAGTAAAAGCATTTCCAATAATTTTTTCAACCAATACATTCATGCCAAGTCTTCGTTAGGTGAAGGGGGCGTGCGGTGTTTCGAGGCGGGGGGCGCGGCGCGGCCGGCGGGAATCAAGGCGGTGCAGGCGGACAGGACGGCGGGAGTGGAAGACGAGTACTTTACGTAACGACGGGGGCGAACGGGGGCGAGCGGGGGACGGGGGGCGGGGGGGGGGGGCGGACGACCGCCCTCTAGCTCGAGTATGTGGAAATTATCAC